AATAACAGAATAGAAGGAAATGTTGAATCTGTAAAAAGAATCAAGCTTGAATATAAAAGAAAGTAAAAGCTCTAGCAAAGAAAAATTGATCTTTAAATATCTTCAGAAAAAGTGAATGCTAAGCAAATAACAAAGAAAGAGAAACTTCCTGAAAGAGCAAGCAAAAACTTCACTTTGCAGATAAATAAATGAAACTTCCTGAATAAGCAAGCAAAAAAAACTTCACTTTTGCAAACAAAACACAACAAATTAAACATCTTGTAGAGGTATAACAACAGCAAAGCTCCAGTCATCTGGTATAACAGTTGGAAATTATGTTTGCTCCATTTCTCCTTGATCATTTTCATTTTTACTCTGATTCAAGAAGCTAACATCTGAGGAACTGCTTGAGAGAATATTAGATTGACTTCTGGTGGTATATCTTTAAGAGATGTTCCCCATCTCTACATCAGAATCTGCTAGACTATTATTGAGTAACTTCATTCCAGGTTTCATAAGGTACTTCTTTAATCTGTTTCCTGTAATAGATTCTTTGAGTTCAGTGCTGTCTAACTCTTCAAGATAATAGGAACCTAGTTCTTGATTGGCAGACTTAACTCTATAGAGTTCTAGTTATTGAAAGTACAGAATGTTATTTCTAGACATATTCTGTTCTCTCTTGGTATTGTGAAGCAAGACAAGGTCTCCAGATAGAAGAGGGTTGGTCTAAATATTATGGATATCATTAAAGTATTTCTTATTCCTAGTGTGCATTCAGAGCTGATAATGACCTGCTTCCAGAACATTCTCATCTTGTCTTTTGATTTGCTGTACTTGTATCAGAAGCAGATCTTCAGTTATTTGAATCTTTCATCAGAGAATTGTTTGCCAAGTAGAAATCTCAAGTTCAATTAGAAGAACTGTCTCCTGGCCCATTAGCAATCTATAAGAGGAGACACTAGTACTAGCCTTAGTTATCATTTGATTCACCATCAGAATCATAGGAAGATGTTTAATCCAATCTCTCCCAGTGCCATTGGTAGCTTTAGCTAGCCCATCAGCCAAAGGCTTATGATCAACTTCCACCATACTATTTGCAGAAGGGTTATAGAGTGAAATAACAATATATTTAATGTTGAATTTCTTCAGTAAGATCTCCACAATGTTCTTATTTTCTGGTCCTCCATCCATAACAAATTTGGCAGGCAGGCCTTATTGACAGATGATATTCTCATAAAGAAATTTGGCCACAGCTTCAGCTGTTGTCTTTTTCAAGACTCTAGCTTCCACTTATTCAGTGAAGTCACATCTGGCAACAATCAAATAATTTTGTCCTCAACAGGAAGGCATGTGCTTGATATCCACCCCAACTTTCTCCCAACAGATAGAGGCCCAGGTAGGATGAAGCTCTTCACTCAATCTTTGTGAATCTCTTTCTTGACATTGAGAAGAGTGCTTCACATAAGCAGACACATCTTTATATATCTCTGACCACCAGTATTGAGCTTGTAGAGCAGAGTATGTTCTCTCTCACTCTTTATGGCCAAATTTGTTGTGCATCATGTGTAAAATTTGTTTGTGCTAATCTTTGTTATTCACAACACATCTTAGAAGCACATCAGATCCTACTTATCTAAATAGCTGATCAGCCTCCACCACATATTTAATTGCTTTTCTTCAGAATCTTGTGTACTCTTTTCCTTCCATGCCCAATGATTTTAATAGAGTGGTTAGATATCATGCAATTTTCTCTGATTCTTCTGAATATGTGGAGTCCAGTATCCTAAGGTCTTCACTATCAAGAGCTCAGTCAGCTAACACTCTTATAGGATTCATAAAGGCAAACAGATCTTCATCTTCTTCAGATTCAGGCTGTTTCTCAATACCTAGTCCTCAGTAAGATAGTCTATCAGTAGCTGTGTGTTTTGTCCCAGGAACATGTTTAATAGTAAAGTTGAAGAGGTGTATTCAAGCTATCCAATTAGTAATCAAAGCTTCTGGAACATCTGTAGCAGTCCTATTAAGTTGGGTGACAAAGGTTTTTGCATTAATTTCCAAAGTAAAGAGCACTCCATATATATGGTGTTGGAATTTCTTGAAGGCTTTCAAAACAGCTCTGCATTCTTGTTTGCCAGCATCATATGTTTTCTCTGAATCATTCCATACTCTGGATTTGTATTGTGCAGGATGTTGAGCTCCTTATTGCTTCTGAAAATGCATTCTCCCCATTCTAATCCACTGGCATTAACAGCTATAGTGATAAGCAAAGAATCTTGTTCATAATTAATTGGAAGAATGATAGGAAATGAACATAACTTTTCTTTCAAAAGCATAAAGATGTCATTTTGCTCTTCAGTCCATGTCTATATAATATTTTGTCAAAGCAGATAATGTAAAGGTTCAGCTATCCAACTATAATGCTCTATAAGTATTTGGAAATATTCAGCTAGCCCTAGGAATTCTTGTAATTCTGTAATGCTTGTAGAAGTAGGCCAATTCACAATTTTAGCCACCTTGGCTTTCTCAGGTTGTTGTCTGTCATAGTTGCAGACCCATCCAATGACATTGACTCCAGACATGCAGAATTGAGATTTGGTGCCAGAGATCCTGGCCTCAGAGACTTTGACAAGCCAGAGAATATAGTTCAGGTTCTGCAGATAATTATAAACAAATCTTCTTATTTCTGGGAGGACTTCAGTTTCATCTTTGACATGTGATCCTTTTACCCCAAGGTCATCCATAAAGGCTTGAGCAATCTCTGGAAAAATCTTGTATATTATCTTCATTATCCTGCATTGGGCTTGAGCTGGTGAATTTGTTGCCTCTTGGACTAAAGTCATATGGTGAAAGAGTCCAATAGGGATTGCAATGACTGTTATATCTCTACTTTCTTCAGCTAATGGGAAATTATCATATCCAGAGAATAAGTTGCATAGGCTAGTTATAACAAGTCTGCCAAAGTCTTCAGCATATTCATTAACATTAGAGGAAATAAAAGCATTCTGAATAGTAACTTTGTTGTACATATATGCTGTGTTAACTAAACAATATTTGCCTTTCTGTTTCTTTGTGACCAGAAAATAGAGATTGGTATATGAACCATGGCAAGGCTCCAACATTTTAGCTTCTAACCTGTCCTGAATGATTTTAATTAGCTTATCATGTAGAGCACAAGGAATTTGGTAAGTCTTAGTCTGTCAAGCCTTATGGGGCTCTGTCTGAATAACCTGGGGAGGCAAGCATTCAGGATGAATGCCATATAGATCTTTGAATAACCAAGCCAATGCCCCTTCATGTTTATAAAGAACTGATATGAAAAATTCTTTCTCCTGACTTGTCAGTTTGAATCCAATTTTAAGCTTCTCAATTCTTTATGTTCATTTCTTATTGTTCTTCCAATCAATTATGAACAGGATTCTTTGCTTATCACTATAACTGTTGATGCCAGTGGATTAGAATGAGGAGGATGCATTATTCAGAAGCAACAAGAAGCTTAATATTCCACATAATACAAATCTAGAGTATGGAGTGATTCAGAGAAAACATATAATGCTGGCAAACAAGAATGCAGAGCTGTTTTGAAAGTCTTTAAGAAATTTCAATACCATATCTATAGAGTGCTCTTTACTTTGGAAATTGATGCAAAAACTCTTGTCACCCAACTTAATAGAACTGCTACAGATGTTCCTGAAGCTTTAGTTACTAATTGAATAGCTTGAATACACCTCTTCAACTTTACTGTTAAATATGTCCCTGGAACAAAACACACAGCTGCTGACAGACTGTCTTGTTGAGAGCTAGATATTGAGGAACAGACTGAATCTGAAGAAGATGAAGATCTGTTTGTCTTTATGAATTCTATAAGAGTTTTAGCTGGTCAAGCTCTCAATAGTGAAAATCTTAGGATACTGGACTTCATATATTTAGAAGAATCAGAAAAAATTGCATGATATCTAACTACTCTATCAAAACTATTGGGCATGAAAGAGAAAGAGTACACAAGATTCTAAAGAAAGATAATTAAATATGTGATGAAGACTGATCAACTATTTAGACAAGCAGGGTCTGGTGTGTGTTTAAGATGTGTTGTGGACAATAAAGATCAGCACAAACAAATTTTACACATGATGTACAACAAATTTAACTATAAAGAGCAAGAAAGAACATACTCTGCTCTACAAGCTCAATACTGATAGTCAGAGATGTATAAAGATGTGTCTGCTTATATGAAGCACTGTTCTCAATGTTAATAAAGAGATTCACAAAGATTGAGTGAAGAGCTTTATTTTATCTGAGCCTCTATCTGTTGAAAGAAAGTTGGGGTAGATATCAAGCATATGTCTTTCTGTCAAGAACAAAATTATTTGATTGTTGCCAGATGTGACTTTACTGAATAAGTAGAAGCTAGAGTCTTGAAAAAGGTAACAGCTAAAGCTGTGGTCAAATTTCTTTATGAGAATATCATCTGTCAATAAGACCTGCCTGCCAAATTTGTTATGGATGGAGGACCAGAAAATAAGAATATTGTGGAGATCTTACTGAAGAAATTCAACATTAAACATATTATTATTTCACCCTATAACTCTCCTGCAAATGATATGGTGGAAGTTGGCCATAAGTTTTTGGCTGATGAGCTAGCTAAAGCTACCAATAGCACTGGAAGAAATTGAATTAAACATCTTTCTGCAATTCTGATGGCAGATCAAATGATAACTAAGGCTAGTAGTGGTGTCTCTTCTTATAGATTGCTAATAGGCCAGGAGACAGTTCTTCTAATTGAACTTGAGATTTCTACTTGGCAAACAATTCTCTGACAAAAGATTTAAACAACTGAAGATCTGCTTCTGATGCAAGTATAGCAAATCAAAAGACAAGATGAGAATATTCTGAAAGCAGCTCATTATCAGCTCCAAATGCACACTAGAAATAAGAAATACTTTGATGATATCTATAATATTTGAATTAACTCTCTTCTACCTGGAGACCTTGTCTTGCTTCACAATATCAAGAGAGAACAGAATATGTCTAGAAATAACATCCTGCACTTTCAATGGCTAGAATCCTATAGAGTTAAGTCTGCCAATCAAAAACTAGTTTCCTATTATCTTGAAGAGTTAGATAGCACTGAACTCAAAGAATCTATTGCAGGAAACAGATTGAAGAAGTATCTTATAAAATCTGGAATGAAGTCATTCAATAATAGCCCAGCAGATTCTGATGTAGAGATAGAGAATGTTTCTCAAAGATATGCCACCAGAAGTCAATCTAACATTCCCTCTAGCAGTTTCTTGAATGTTAGCTTCTTGAATCAGAGTGAAAATGAAAATGATCAAGAAGAAATGAAGCAAATACAATTTCTAAATGTTATACCAGATGACTGGAGCTTTGCTGTTATTATACCTCCACAAGATGTTTAATTTGTTGTGTTTTGTTTGCAAAAGTAAAGTTTTTGCTTGCTCTTTCAGAAAGTTTCTCTTTCTTTGTTATTTGCATAAGCCTTCACTTTTTCTGAATTTTTTGGAGATATTTAAAGGTCAATTTTTCTTTTCTGGAGCTTTTACTTTCTTTTATATTCAAGCTTGATTCTTTTTACAGATTCAACATTTCATTTGCAAATTTTTTGATTTCTGATATCTTTTAAAAATGGCTGGACAAAGCAACCTGCCTCCTTTAGCACCAGCAACCAAAAACCAAGGTCTGGTCATTACCAGAGACAGTGGAGTCAACTTGGATGGCCATTTCTTCAATAACCTAACAGCAGCTATGGAATACATTAATAACCAAGCTCCACACTGCCACTATGGTCTGCAAGTTGAACTAATGAACACACTTATACAAGTGACTGATATGGTCACTGACTTAGTGACCCATTTTTATTGATATGTTGAAAGATCCAGAGCTTGGCAACATGTTACATACACCAATTTTGAAGCCAATTTCCATGATGCTTGAAAGATTACTCTGGATATCAAATAACATTGCATTAATATGCAAAAGATCAAGAATAAGCTTGTCACTATATGGAGGATAGACAAGATTGATGCTATATGGCCAAAAGTAGAGAGTCTGTAAGCCATACAAAAGCTTTACCATACTCTAAATCTCTACAAGAATTAAAATAAGTTCACCAGCAATATTGACAGTACAGTGCTCTGAAGACTAGATGCTATAGAAGCTGGACATCACCAGAGCTTAGCTATATTGCCAGGTAATTATACTACAGCTGACAAAGAAGTTAATCACACTTGCAAACTTTCTTCAAGAGATGCTCTATACTGACAAGAACTTACTATTGGAAACTATGATCTTCTATAGCTGTTGGCTCTTCCACAGTCATCTAGCTCCCAACATTCAATTCAGAATATTACTAGAAGCCCTCCCACTGCAAGCAGCCCCTGAGATCTACTAGAAGAACCACAGTTATCAAGATCACCAAGAGATGTTTCAATGAGTGGAATGTCAATGCTGCATAGCTGCAATGTATCAGGAGCCTCTATACATAGTGTAATATTGATTAGATTGTGTGGATTGGAAACTGGTCAATCACAGCTGCCATTTGAATTCACCAGCATACTGGCCAATTCATCCAGCTAATCAGAAGCTCTAAATCACTGCAGTGAGAGAATTACAGTTATGTCAGCACACCAAACCCTTCAAGATCTAGATAACAAAGATGAGTCTGTTATTTCTTCTGAAAGTGATAAGGAAATACCCTGATATAAACAAGAAGAATCTGTCATGGCAGTACATTCTGGTACTTGTAGTTGCTATGGTTTTGAACAGCAGCTTCTCCAAAAGATAAAGAGTACTAAAACACATTCAGAATTGGAGCTTATTCACATTCTGAAGCAATTAGAAAAGATCTTTAGCAATAAGAAAGCTGATATCTATCTATATTATAATCATGCAAAACTAATGACTTCAAAACTTGGTTTACAGACTTGCACACTTAATAGAGAGAAGCTTCTCAACTATTTAACTTACATTTATAGAAATCATCACAACATTGGCTCAGTCAAGACCAGTAACAGCACCTATCTCTGGTTCTGTTTGACAAATAGACCAGCTAGAGCTGAAGATACTTTAGACATTTACAAATTCAAACATCAGTCAATTATTTCTCTAGTTGCAAACATGAGAACATTCAACTTCAACTGATACATGTGAATAACTGGAGCTAACAAGTTCACCACCAGCAATCTTCAGAAGAAATGGGAAACAACTGGATCTGTTGTCATTTCTCAGCTAATGTGCTGGTGAAATGATAAGTTACAAGATGCCACCACTACAGTACTCACCTGGGTCAATGGTAAATACAACATGTACTACCATTATTAGTGAATAATGGAAGGTCACAACAATTATGGATGGTTGAGAATAATGTATTACAGTATTGGCCAACAACTTATGCACCAGAACTCTGTGTACTATCTATAGTATGTACTGACAAAACCTGACCACACTTGAAAATTGATCTTCTATTCATACTACATCAAGTATGCTAAGCCAGGGGATAAAACTGGGTTTTGCCATATTGATATCAATGTTCCAGATGCTATTACTACTGGAAGGAGTGTTAATATAATACAAGAATTCTTGATCTTAACTGCAGAAGAGCCTGGTGACTGTACAGAAATCTTGCCAGAAATGCATAACCATCTAGAGAATTAGTGGGGACTAGTTGAAGAACAAGACTTATCCACTAATAACTATGTTCATCATATTAAAGATACAATGTATACCAAGAACAATAAAAGAAAATTTGGTATTAGATGGACCAACATCATTTGCAAATCTGATAATATCTGAATTACAAGCTCTCTGCTATCTTATAGAGCCCATGGTCCATGCAAAAAGATCTGACACACTATACTACCCTGGTATGTGGCAATTCAAGAGAACCATGAATATCTAGAAGTCAATAAAGCTGGTACATGGTTCCAGCTTTCTGCTGTATATAGAGATCTAGTTCCAGGGTCTTCATCTTCATCTGGCTATTCAAATTGTTATGCATTGGCTCCATATCAATTCCCTACCACTATTTAATTACAAGGCTTAGGAGCTATATCAGATGCTCTGGTAGAATGAATTAGATGGGACAACCCCATGGTAATTAAGAAACTCAATATTCTCTTTGGTCCTGATGACAAAAAGACTCAGGACTTTATTAATAACTGGCATCTAAAGACCACATGAATTGCTCTGAATACTATTGTCAAGACTTACTAAATTGAAAAGAAAGCTTTTGATAATAAATTCTATTGGTATTGCATGCACAACAATATTGACCCAGTGTCAGTTCAGTCTTCTCCTTCTCTCAAGAACTTGATGGAAGAAGAGAATCATGGTAATTACTATTAGAGATTGCTGCTATCACTCTTCTTATTCTTATTTCCTATATTTTTTCCTTACCAGGCTGCTCATTACTATTTATTATTCTCTTATTTTACTAAATTGGTTTTATTTTATTTTATATGTTGTTTGTTGTCAGAGGACACCAACATTGAAGGCCAGGAGAAAATGTAGTGGGAATTCCAGTATCTCATTAGAATAAAGATTGTTCTGCTCTGAGGCATAAACCATCTCAAAGCTACTATTCTTGAGCTATATAAACCACCTGTAGCCTCTGTATCTGGCTTATTATCTTCATGCACCATGGCTGTTTTCTACACACTCATTTCTTACTACCAGTTTAGTTATTAGTTAGAGAATATAAAGATTTCTTGTTCATGAAATGTACTACTGTTTCTCATTAGAGCTGCCTGTGTTAGTACAGGGCTCTTTAGTACCATTACTTCTTATAAGCTTAGATGTCTGTTAGGACATACCTATCTCTACACTTACTACTTGACCATACCCTTACTATGTTGTGATTTTTCACCTTTCTTGTGCTCTCACCATATCAATCAACTTGCCTACCTTGACAAGGCATCCCATTGTACCCCGCTCCATTTGGTGACCATATCAACCAACTTGCCTACTTTGATGAGGCATCCTATTGTACCCCACTTCAATAGTCTATATATATATTTTGCCAGAGAATAGAGCAAACTACAATAAGATATATAAAATAAAACTCAGAACTTAACTTGATTATCTAGTAGAATATGAAGATAAGAATAAATATATTTATAAGATTTGAATTCTGAACACTGGTAAAATTATATATACATATAATATCAAGTTTAATAAGAATATTAATATCATTCCAGATCTTCTGAAAAAGAAAGATTTTAAGTTAAAGAATATATTTACAGAACTCTTTATGATTCTGAGCTTTTCAAAGCAGAAAGCTATAGAGATGGTGAAGTAAGCTACTACCAGACTTCCCCCAGCTTCAACACAAGAGTCTACAGAGATACATGATCAAGAAGCTAATCTGATTAAGAACTCTGAGATTTTAATATTTTTCTGAATGCAAAAGTAAATGCACAGCCCATGGCTTTAAATAATAATATTATCATCTTAGAATACCTCTTCAGCATCTGAATACATGGTGAGATTTCAAGAGCCAGTCTATAAGACTATTAAACAGACACCAGAGCCTTCATATAATAAAGATAATGACAACAACTTGATTAAGAGCCAAATTCACAATAAGATATTCAGAGACACATTAAAAGAACCAGATCAAGAAGAACAGATCACCAAATTCTTGCATATACAAGAGCAGATCCAAAGGCTCTAGAATCAACACAACAAGCAAGTGTTGAGCTCTTATATATGTCTATATGTGAACCTGAATCTACAGCTTCAATAAAGCTAAACTCTCAGCCTACAAGATATATATTGAGCTGTACAACTAAAGGCAAACTAGCAAGACTATATGAAGATTATGCTTTCTACCTTACAACTGCTCTGCTAGCTTATAAAGTTAAGACTTCATGCAACTATAAAGAAGCCATAACTAGTAAATATGATAGTGAATGAAAGAGTGCTATAAAAGCTCAAATCAAGAAGCTAAAAGCTGTTAATACTTAAGAGTTAGTTGAGAGAAATTCAATAGATTCTACAGCTAAGATTTTATCTGACAAGTAAGTTTTTGACTTAAAAGTGAATGCTGACAGCTATATTATCTCTTTCTGTGCTAGACAAATTATATGTGGTAATTTTCAACTCTCTAGCCTTAATTTTGATAAGTCTGCTACATCTCTAGTTACTAAATCAGCTATCAAGCTTGTGCTTATAAAAATAGTGATTAAATATATGTACTGTGAACAAGTTAATATAGTTATAATTTATTTGCATGCTATACTTAAGTATTATAAGATCTACATAAGCTTTTTCAACTAGCAACATACAGAAATCTTCTGAGAATAGGAACAACATCAGCAGAGACTTTGATATAGCTGTCTATTAATAACTTAGACACACATTCTTCTCTTTTATCTTGAAAAATTTATTCATATCAACAGTT